TTCAAGTGTCATTCACTTTTAAGGCCCCCAAAATACTCAGTTTGATTTAGAAATAGAAAAAAAAAAAATCCAACAGCTGCGGTCAAAGAAAAAAAAAAAAAAAATCCAGTTATTGGTCTTTTGTTGTCCTGGGTTGAGGAGACTGTCCAGATTCTGTTTGTCAAGCCACCAGATACTGAAGTAGAACTGTGTTCCCTGTGATCAGTTCCAAATCCAGGGAATTCCACCCAGCTCTTCCTTCAGGAGCTAGCAGGAAGTGATTCTGGGGTGACAAGGGGGGGAAGCTGCAGCTTAGACTCCACCTTCATTCACCCCAACTTAAAGCAAGAGTCTGAGATGGACTTTTCTTACCTTTCCCTTCCTCACAAAGCATAGGATATAAGTTCAGGGCAATCACAGCATTTTTAAAGACCCCTCCAGTCCTGTGGGTTTTGGTGATGAAGCCTCACTGGGTGGACAGGTAAGACAGGAGGAGGAATTTTTATTCACTAGCACTTCTGGAATTAATTTATAACAAACATCTGGAGTGGAAGTGGAACTGAAATCCCTTTTTTTTCCAACAAAGAGGAGAGGTGGAAAAACATATATCAGTCCTGAGATTTTTAAGTGCTTTTTGCTTTTATGGATTGCTGCAATGAGTTGGATTAGTAGGTTTATCAAAGGAAAGCCATTACAAATCAGTCAAAAATCTTTGGAAAGGGTCTTGATTTTATTTGGAAATTACTTATAGTTCTTCAGGTCTTGGGGAATTTTTTTTTTATTTGAGGGAGAAATAATTCAGTAATACACACAAAGTTAGTTATGGAATCACAAAATGGGTTTACTTTTACCTTTGAAAAAAAAACAAATGGGCTGAAAATTCCCACCCACCATGATTTTTATAGGATTTCAGGCACAATTGTCCTTTGTTAGGTCTTTGATGTTTGACTCACCTGGGAGAAACCCATAGAGAAAATAAAATAGATACCCTAAGGAAGGACCCTGATCTAGTGAAAAGTGATGCTGCCCACAGCAAGAGACTGGAATTAGGTGATCTTTAAGGTTCCTTCCAACGAAAACCATTCAATGATTCTGTGGAAACTGAACCAGGCCAGTGCCAGGTCCCTCAGTGATCCATGGAGATGAGCAGCCAGGTGACCACAACTGACCTCTGCAGCCCCTGGGGACACCAGGGGACAACATCACCTGGGGACCTGCTGCCCTCTGGAGGTGCCTCTGCCACGTTTCCAGATTGATTTGGTCTCAGGTGATCCTTCTGCCATGCCAGAGGACTTTTCTGGTACCAATCCCTGTGGAGGGCACAGAGGGTGCTCCTGCCCAGAGTGGGATGAAGATGGTTGGGTGCACGACAGCCTCCCCTTCCCATCCTTGGAAGGCCAAGCCCCAGGGAACTGCAGGATCACAGAATGGTTTGGGTTGGAAGGGACCTTAAAGACCATCCTGTTCCACCCCCTGCCATGGGCAGGGACACCTTCCACTATCCCAGGTTGCTCCAAGTCCTGTCCAGCCTGGCCCTGGACACTGCCAGGGACCCAGGGACAGCCACAGCTTCCATAGACAACCTCTACCAGGGACTCCCCACCCTCACAGGGAGGAATTTCTTCCTAATATCTCATCTAAAGACACTCTCTTCCAGAACACTTTCCCCTTTGTCCTGTCATTCCATGTTCTTGTCCCAGCTTCCTGATATGTTCCCCTTGGGTACTTCAGGAATTTTTCTTTACAGGGACTTTACTTTAGGGGAAAAGCATTTATTTGAGGACCAGCTGAGAAAAAACCATGGATGCTTCTGCAAGATTTCTACAGAATGGCCACACAACCCTGCCAGGAGATCCAGCTCCTCCACACTTTGTTAGCAGGATACCTGCAGGGAGAAACCACCACAAATCCAGTAAAAAGGGCAAGAAGCAGAATGTTCAAATCCAAACTGAGTTGAGCTGCTGCTGTTGTGATAAAGAAATGGTCGTTTCTGCCCATTTTGGGTGGTGAGAGGCAGCTCAGAAGGTCCAGGTAAGACTTAGGGGGCTCTAAGGCACCTTACAGAGTTTGTGGTGTTCAGATCAGCACAGGGGATCCCAAGGAAGTCTGGCTGCCCCATCCCTGGAAGTGTCCAAGGCCAGGTTGGACAGGGCTTGGAACAACCAGGGACAGTGGAAGGTGTCCCTGCCCATGGCAGGGGATGGAATGAGAGGATCTTTAAGGTGCCTTCCAACCCAAACCCTTCCATGATTCTACAAACTACCACTACAGCAAGCAATTTCCAGCTTGGGCTTTGCAAAACCTCATCCCAGCAAAAAATCAGGCTTGTATCTGTGTGTTTCCAAGGATTCAGCAGTCTTCTGGAAAAGCTCCTGTGCCCAGGGATGCTGTGGGAACTGGCAGTCTCTGGAGCCCTGCGGGCAACAGAAAGGATTCCTTGTGTCTGAGGAAAAGAAAAAAATACTGAGCCATAGGTGTGGACAGTGCTGGTGTTTCACAGGTTTATTTTAACTGATCACACCTAATTTCAGGTGTCCATTGCAGGTGGTTGGTGTTAGAGCATCACCAGCAGGAGCAGCACTCTTCTTCAGCAGCTCCCCACCAGTGTTTTTTGGATGAAGACAACTTATCCAAGATAAATCCAGGCCAAAAAACATTCAAACCCATGGACTGGCTTCAGAGGGATGTGGCTGCAGCCTTTCACTGCTATCTTATGGCAGCTCATTTGAAATCCATTACGCAACCGAATTAAAAATAAACATTTACAGGAGAGGGAGCGGGTGACAGTGTGTGGTCTGTTCCTGCGAGGAGACAGACAGACAGACAGACATCCAACCTAAGAAGCAACACCTCTGCTGTAAACTCACCCTGCTAGACCTGCGCTCTGGCCCTGAGGCCAACTGACCCTGTCTGGCCACGTCGCTGTGATTCAATGCTCCTGGCTATCAAATCTGGGTGGCTGGATCCAATTTGTTTGTCAGGAAGGGGCCCCAGTCATGGTCATTCCCAAACCATGTCCTGGGATTGCTCATTCCACACCAAAATCAGGCCAGGGGCTGTTTCACCCTGTGCCTCTCTGTTCCCTGGTTCTGCTTGGTTCATGGGCACAGACTCAGTTTTGATTTGGATGAAAATGTTGAACCTCCACGTGCTTGATGGACCAGGCTCTGCTCTGTGGGACCCAGCAACAGGATAACAGGAATGGGCAGGAACTGATGCCCAGGAAATTCCACCTGGAATGAGGAAGATCTTTCCTGTGCAGTGACTGAGCACTGAACAGATTGTCCAGAGAGAGAGTGGCGTCTACTCACTGGGGATATTCCAAAATTATCTGGATACAGCCCTGTGCTCTGGGATGGGGAGGCTGGACTAGCTGACCCACTGTGATCCCTTCCAACCTGACCGCTCTTGGGATTCTGGGGTTCCTTTTGCTGCTAAAAGCTGTTGTAGGTCTTTGTCAGACAGTTTTAACATGCAGCCAACAGCTCTTCCATCTCCCTTGGTGCCTCTCCATCATCATCAGCCTTCAGGTGCCTCCCTGCAGCACAGTGAGAGCTGATCACCAGGCTGAGTTTGCATATGCAGATCTGAAATCTGACAAAAAATGGATGCTGGCAAAGCAAAAAAAAAGAAAAAAAAAGAAAAGAAATTGAAAAATATTTGCATTTTCATCAGAAATGTGGAAATGCTGCTGTTCATTCTGAAGCTGCATTGCTGCATCCAGGGCACCCCCCTTCTCTGCACTCCAGACTTCCAAACCCTGTGCAGGCACAGCCTCTAAATTACTGTGGGGGTCTGGGGTACCCCTGACATCGAAGGGAGGTGGGAAATCCCACCTCCAGCCCTTCCATGCTGGAATTCTGGAAGGGACTGTAAATCTCCCTGTTGCCCTCGGGGGTGGGCAGGAGAAGGGAAGGGTGAAAAAAAGGAATAAAAAGGCTCTGAAGGGGTTTCTGTCACAAAAGCTGAATGTGGGAATGCGGGAAGGGGCCTGGATGGTTGGAGGTCGCTCCCAAGGTTTAACCCTTCGCAGCACCAGCTTTGCAAACGCGGGCAGTGGCTCTGAGCCCCAGATGTGTGAAGTGTGGGATGCTTTGGACAGGCTTTGAGGGGTTAACCTCCAACTTCTGGGGAAGGAAGGAAAGCCCCTCTGTCCCCTGCCTTTGATTCTGGACCCCACTCAGCCGGAGCCGGGGCACTGCCTCTCTCACTCCCTCCTCGGAAGCAGCTAAAATGGTTTCCAGCCCCGCTGGGGCAGCTGTGGAAGCAACAGGAGCTTCCCCAGTACAAAATTCAGGCACAGGCTGGTTCCTAAGCTGGTTTCTGCCCGGGGATGGATGGTACCAGCCTGGGAGCCCCGAGGAACCACCCTGGTGCTTCCCAGAGATGCTGATGCATCCTTGCAAAATTCCCCTCTGCACACGCAGTGGGCAAGCTGTGGCACCTGGAAATCGTCATGCCAGAGCTCTCCCGAATGCCAGAGGACCCCAAACTCCTTGGTGGGGGCTGATATCCATGGTAAGAAACACGATCAGCATGAGGACACCAGCAGGTTGTTGTCGGGAAGAGCCACAGATTCCTTCAGGAGCACAGCAGCTCTCCGGGCATCTCCTGCAAGCCTTGAGGGTACCTGCCCTCCACTGGACCGCTCCATCCCTCCTCTCCACGCCGAAAGCATCGCTGATGTTCCTTCCTCTCCTGGGTGCCGGAGGATGTTTAGGACCCGGGCTGTGCAGCTCCTCCCTTCCAGGTCTCTCCAGGGTTATTGCTTGGTGGGAGGTAGGTTCAGGGCTTGATGGTATGAATGAAAGAGAGAGAGGAAATCGGCACTGAAAAGCTCAAACTGGAATAGCTCGCCTGTCTCCAGGCAACAGCCCTGACGCAACCGCTGAGGGAAAAAAAAAAAAAAAAAAAAAAAGAGCCCCCTAAATAAAAAAAAAAAAAAAAATAACCAACCAAAAACAAACCAACCGCCACACGCGCAGATTTCTGAAGCGAGACACAGAGGAGGAGGATGAGACAGACTCCGGGAGGCACTGGTGACACCGCTCTGCAAACACCAAGTTGGGGACCCGAGGTGCAAGGAGGGAGCCAAGATGTCCGTGCCATCCCCTCTCTGATTCCAGCCCCGGTAAGTTTGGACTTGGTGGTGGCTTGGGGGGGGACAGAGCCACCCTGGGGACACCCAGGACGGGAGCTGTGGGAGAGCTGCCCGGGGCTGGAGGGGACCCCAGGAGCAGCACAGAGGGGTGATGGGGACCCCACCGAGCACCAGCTCAGCACCGGGGTCTGGCGAGCCGGTTCTGTTGTGGCGGAGCTGGGGTTTGCAAAGTGTCCCCCCTGCCGCAATCTCCTGCCCCGCCGACATTCCCTGGAGATGGCCGGCACGGTGGCTCCCCATCGACTGGGGATGTCTGAATCCTCCTTTCCCGTGATGTTTGTGGATTTTGCTCTCAGCCGGGAGCAGCGTGGGGCTTCTCACCGGCTCCAGGAGGATTTTCCCGCACAGGGTGAGGTGTGACAGGGGACAGGCTGCCCGGGTTTCGGGACAATCACCTGTTGCTCCCTCTGCCCCCAGCCTGAGAGGTGCAGGAGCCCTGGAAACCTTTCCAAACCTGGAATGGTTTGTGGGTTTGTGCAGTGCAGACATGGTGGGATGAGCGTGGTGGCCTCGCAGGGCGTAGCTACCTCGGGTTTTTGAATGAGGCACGCACCGTGCGCTGAGCACAGCAGGTTTCCACCTGCGCGGGTCTGGCCCTCGCAGCTCACCTTTACACCGAGGAGAGGGGGGAAAAAAACCCAGCCAGAACTTCTCCAGAGCCCTTTATAACAGCTTGGGGCTAATTGTTAAAATAATAGCGCCAGCCCGCACCCCTCCCAGCACGAGTGTTTGTGCAAGCCCAGCCCGAACGCCGCGGGTGTTGCACACCAGGGCAGCATCCTCATCCCGCAGCCCGGACCTCTCCGCTCCGGGCGGGCTGGCACCTCTCCCACCGCAGGCACCTCTCTAAGGACACCCCTCCCTGCTTCCCTGCCATGCTCCCCCTGTTATTCCACAATCCTGCGCCCTCCGGAGCTTTTTCTACATCGGAGACCTCAGCGGAGGCGTGGGGGGAGGTGGGAATGGATGAAAACCAAGTTCCTGGCTTCCAGCGGGGAGCTGTGCCCAGCTGATTCCTCTGGCTTTGTCTGCTCGTCCCCTGTATCCGAGGAACTCCCCACTTTCCAGCGGGAACGAGCCTGTTTTGGCTGCCGTGGGTTTGCTCTGTGCCAGCCATCATTTCAGCACACGGGAGCTGCTGCTGGTTTTTGCATCCCAGCTCTTCTCTGCCTTCAAATTCCCATTAAATTCCCCCCCATCCTTCATGGGGGGTGGATGGGGGGGTGTCTGTACGCCACAAAAATCCAGCAGAACGGGAGGAATCCGGCTTCTGCCGGGCTCTGGGCTTGCAACAACCCCGCAGCCATTAGGTGTTTGCAAAATGTAGCAGAGACACTGCAGGGAAAAAGAAAAAAATAAATAAAAATAATCAGCCTCAGAGCAGCGTAGCCCTTCTGGGGGGAGGGAGAGGAGGGTCTGTTTACAACCAGCTGATCTTAAATGATATTAAATCCCACAGTGCAGCTCAGCACTGGGAGAAGACAGGTCTGAGGACAGAGGTTGGATGATCATGGTTTGGATAATTGGATGGGACAGGGGGCATGTAAAGGGGATTAGGGGGTCACCGAGGGGCTGACCCCATTCCCCTGATCATGTTAACTTGGAGCCTGGGGGTCTCCAGTGGGAGCTGGTCCTGGTGTTGTCCCTTCAGGGGCTGAGCTCGGTGCTGGGCAGATTGGAGCTCAACAAAACAAAAACAAAAAGGTTAGGTTGGTTTTTTTCGTTCTGAAAACACACCCTTGCATGCTGGATCTGGGGAAAAAATAGCTCCCCATACCAGTCTCCCGGGAAGAGAGCTTTTCTCAGCCTGCCCTGGCTCATTCCCAAGGAATCCCAGCCCTTTTCATTACCCTGGGCACACGGGCACAGAGGTCCCTGCCTGTCCTTGCTGAAACATGGCTGTGCCTGGGGTGGCAGTGGGGAAAAAGGGGTAACAACCAGCTGTGCCAAGCCACAGGTCCTTTGGGGGCATCTCTGGGAACAGGTTGGCTGTGCCACTTCCAAGATCAGCTCCAAAACCTGTCAGGAGCCTGGGGCAGTGAGTGCAGATGAAACCCTTCCCCATGACCCATGGCTCCACAGAGCTCAGAACACACAGAGAGTGGACATGGTGACTTCACCAAGAGCCTGAAAACTTGCCTTTGCTTCTGCTTCTCAATCCTTTTCCTCCTAAAAGGAATCCTATCTGGTTTTGGCTCATGGGTTGTAAGCATTGACCCTGTTCAGCTCCTCAGTTTGCATCTCCTTCCAGCTGACTGGAAGACTGGTTTGCTGGAATGCCAAATACTTCTTCATGCAGGATTTCCACACAAAGCCTAGAAATCTGCTGATCTAGGGGAGCCTAACTGGTCTGAAAATGGAGCTGCAAGGGTCCCTCTGAAGTAGGCAGCAGCTTCAGCCCTCCTCCCTCACCAGGAGCCTGCTAGAAGCTGTGTGGGGCATGCAGGAGGGATGAGGTGTAGTCGGGCAGGAAGGTGCAGATGTGTTTACTGAAACAGGTTCTGACTCTGCTGGTGATGCTGGAAATCAGCCAGGGAGAAGTGCCTTGGGGCAGGGAGTGCAAACTGGTCCCCTCTAATCTCACAGAATCACAAAATGGTTTGGGCTGGAAGGGAGGCCCCTTCCATAAATCTCATCCACTCCTCCCATGGACAGGGACACCTTCTATATCCCAGGTTGCTCCACGCCCTGTCCAGCCTGGCCTTGGACACTGCCATCTCTGCATCCCTCCACTCCTCTGGTGGATTTTCTGCAGCCGCCACTGCTCTCCCCTCCTCCCTTGCAGTGTTCAGGCTCTTTCTGGAGGCCATTTGGGCAGAAGGATGTGCTGGAGCAAACCCTCATCTTGCTCCAGGTCATATGTGAATGGAAAGCCCCTCTTTTTCCCTTTTTCCCATTTTTCTGTGAATGCCATCTCCACATCTATGCCTTTAATGCCCATTTTGGTCCCATCAGTGCTGTCATTTTTCCGTGGAGAAAGGAACAAGCTCACAGACAGGAGTGTGGCCAGAAAGTCTCCATGGGCACCGTGCTCAGTGTCACTGAGGGCTCTGCCATGACTCCTCCATGGGCAGAGCCCTTTCCATCCTGTCCCGACCATCCTGAGCTGGCAGACAGCATCTGATCCTGACAGCACCAATTCCAGCCCTGCAGCATGTCCTGGCTCCTCGGGATCAGACAGCTCTTCCTGCTGCTGGGATTTTGTCCTTTTGAAGGGAGGGCAGTTGAAGGTCACTTTGGGACCAGGCTGGTTTTCTGCAGGAGAGGATTTCAGCTGATACAGAAAAGGATTGGGTGGGTAAACACTGAATAATAAAATCCAGGGAAGCCAGCTCTCCTCAGGGTTGGTGGGGTAGCTGGGGATTTGTTCTCCACCTCTGCAGGACCCTTGTGCAGAGCCAGCAGGATGGGGGGGCTCTGGCAGGGTGAGGAACCCCCAGCTCACCAAACCCACTCAGCACAGCAGCTCCTCTGCTGACAGAGCTCATTCTGGCGTGGGGAAAGGAATGAGTGATGTGCAACCAGCCTGAAAGGGAAGCACCAGCTCCAGGGAGCTGCAGTGTTAATCCTGATGAGTGTCTCCTTCCCTCACCCCGTTCCTGAGCCCTCTGAGTCTCTGCTGCCCTGAGGATGCTCTGGAACATCCATCCACCTCCCTTACTCCATTGCTATGGCAACCCTGAGGATGCTCCGGAACATCCATTCACCTCCGTGAGCAGCCAGAGTCCTCCCTTACTCCATTGCTATGGCAACCCCTTCTCACGGGCATCTCCTCCTCTCTGCCCCTCTTCCAACCTGCAGCAGACACCCAGGGGGGGTCAGAGACCTCCAGGGGGGGTCAGTCACTCCCACCCCATCCCTGTGTCATTGGTGTGCATGGAGGGAGGCAAACAGAGCTCTCCCTGCACACCAGGCACTGTCCCCCGCCTTGGTGTTCCTTCATCCCACCTTTCCACGCTCAGGGTCCTCCTCTGCTGCTGGGAGCTGCAGAGCTGGATGGTGATGCTGGCAGGTTGGATTTACTCCAGGGGTTTCTTCTGTAGGAGCAGGGGGTATCTGTGTGAGCCCTGTGCAAACCTTCAGAGCAAATGCTCAGGGGAACCACATCCCAAACTCCATGGATCACAGGGGGTGTCCCTGCACCCACTGGAGTGTGAGCACAAGCACTCAAATGAGACCTGGGGACACCAGAGGTGAATTCTGAAAACCCTCAGAGCTTTTTCCCTGAAGGCCATTTGCACGGACTGACTTCTCAGTGAGAGGGAAACTGAGGCACAAAGGGCTGAGGTGCTTTTTGAAGGTCATTCACAGCCTGAAGCACTGCCTCTGCCCTGTTTGCTCCATGCCAGAAGTGTCATCCGTGGTGTGTGTGGGCAAAAGGGCTTTTGTCAGCTGAGCATTTGTCTCATATTGAGGCTTTTTTGTCTTCCCAGCCTCCAGAGCAGAATTCCCCTAACATAGACTCCTGCAGCCACTGCTGCTCCTCTGCAATAAGAAATGGTGTTAGAGGAACCCACAGTCCACCAGGAACAGTGAAGGAAGAAGAATAATTTGCTCCCCACAGCTCCTCCTTGGCTAATTGTTGAACTCCCAGTTTAACATTCCTATTATTTCTCCATCCTAGGCTGGTGCTTCTGTTGATCCCTTGGGGTAGGTCAGTTGACTTCTCCAGTGGAAACCTAACACAAGAAAGAAATTAAAGTGTTTTTTGTTGCTGCCTCAGTGACCTGTTGTGTTCTGTGCTTTCAGGATTCATCTAAGGGAAGGGGGGAACCCCTGGGCAGAGGTTCTTAGTGAGGTGTGAGCAAACCCTCACCTTGTTTTGGGGCTGAACTTGTTACCCCTAATTAGGAGTGGCACAAACTCCCTGTGGCAGGTGTGATAATGAGACAAATCAAGGATTAATCACTTAAATCCCCTCACACAGGCCAGCCCAGGGGGAGTTAAGCCTAGGGCAGGGAAACTGGGAGGATGTGGATTTGAGCCAGAGGCAGGCTTGTTCCTGGGAATTTGGTAACTCTCAGGGTTTGTGTTACAGCACAAGGGCATTTTTCTCACACTTACAACTTTCAGATCTCTTTCTCCACAGCAGGTCTTTGAGCCAAATCCAAGATATTGATAGGAAATTAGAAGTGGCTCCCTTCTGTCACTTTGGAGTTCGGACAGGCTGCCAATTTAGGGGGTGTCCCTGCTGAATCAATGCTGCTTTTAGGGTAGAAAAACCAAATCTCCTCCAAAGCTGCTGGGAGTTATGGTGACAGGGAGGGGGAGATGACAGCAGGGTTGTGACAAAGGGGATGCTCCAAGCTGCTGTTCTGTTTTCATGCTCCAATGCTCTAAATGTTAAGTGAGCTGTGCCCAGGGCTCAAATACCAGGGGCCATTGCCACCCTGAGGATTCCATACAAGCTGAAAAACAGGACAAAAGAGTTTGTGTGGTGCTCTATTTTGTAGCTGTGGCATTCAGAAAATGATAAAAATATGATCTTTGCTGGGGATTAGCAAATCCAGAAGCCCAGTGTGAAATTGCAGCAGACTCTTGGACTGATGGGTTTGGGCCACCCTCAGCAATCTCCACAGAGGTCTCATAGGATAGAGAAAAACGCTCAGAAACGAGGTCTTTAGAGTCATTACTTGTTTTCCTTTATTGATTTGGGGAGGCTGGAGCAGGAGGAAAGGTAAATTCATTGACATGCCCTGAGCCCAGCAGAGCACCCTTCCACCAGGGCAGCCCGCTGCTTTCCCTTCTCTTTTTCAACAGAAGAAGGAAAATTGTTGCTGTTCCAGGCACGAGAGCTGTTGGCTTCAACCAGCCAGAGTGTCTGTGTGTGCTCCCTCTCCCTGTAAAACTCTCATTAACATAAATAGGAGCAGGAAGGAGAGCACAACATGACTAATCCTCCACCCCCACACTGTCTGTGTGTACACTCACAACTCCTCCTTCAGCTCATGTGCCCCCCACACAATTGTTGGGATAAGTCTTGCTCTCACTCAGTGTTTATTTTAAACTGAGTCTTCTTACTCAAAAGGTTGGAGAGGCGTAATTATGGTCTGGATTTCAGAGCTGCACATGCCTTTGTGGAAATGGCAGGGAGAAGGATGGCTGAGTAACTCTAGGAAGCTGCACACATCCTGCCTGGTTTTCCAGGCACCTCACCAGGCAGGCAGAAAAGTATTTTGTTTTGTGCCTGACGTTCAGAGGAGAGCTCTGGATCTATTCCTAGCTCAGCTGTAGATGAGCACACGACCTTGAGAATGTCTTTATCTGATCCTGCTGGCAAATGAACACGGAAGCTGCCTGAGCTTAACTCTTGAGGAGTTCTCTGCCCTTCCAGGTCCCAGGGTTTGACAGACCAGCTTTGGGCACAGCTTCCATGAGTGCTGGCAGGAGGAGAAGTGGGGAGGAAGCTCCTGGCTTCTCTGTGCTGCTGCTCCTGAGGGTGTTTACAAGGGACCACTCCTACTGGACAAACTGGACGTGGCCAGAGATGGAAACCACAAGTCCAAGTGTCCCTGGGTGTCTGAGCCCAGGCCATGCCAGCACCACAGTTAGTTCCTCCCCTGGCTGGGACCATGTTCCCGGCTGGGGCCAGTGGGCCAGGAAGGAACTGAATCCTCAGGCTGCAGCTTTAGCAAACCCAGAACTAATCCCAGATATTAAACTGGAGGGGAGTGTGGTATGGGGAAGAACAAGTCCCTTTTTCCAGTTCTCCTTTTGACTCGAACTCTTGGGAAAACTTTGGGTCTGCAGAATCACAGAATGGTTTGTGGGAAGGACCTTAAAGACTCCACCCCCTGCCATGGCCAGGGACAACTTCCACTATCCCAGGTTGCTCCAAGCCCTGTCCAGCCTGGCCTTGGACGCTTGCGGGGATCCAGGAGCAGCCACAGCTTCTCTGGGCAACCTTGGCCAGGGCCTCCCCACCCTCACAGGGAAGAATTTCTCCCTAATATTTAACCAAACTTCCCCTCTTTCAGGTTGTCCTGTTTCATTTGGGTCTGATTTGCCCAGATGGGGAAATGTGGGTTTGCCAGGCAGAAGATCAGCAAAAGCAGACAGCCCAACATCCAGCAGCAGCCACTGCTGTCTCCAGAGGACTTTGGGGTCTGAGAATGTCTCCTGGCCTCCTTGGCCACCCTTCTGTGGCCCCTGGAGTTAAGATTGGAGGTGTAGGTAACCAGAGCTTTGCTAAAAGCCAGAGCCTGTCTGTTCCTGCCCCAGAGCACTCAGATAACTGAGGTGAGGTCACCCTCCCCTGCAGCACCTTGGCACTGAGCCTCTCCCAAAACCCTCACTCCCTTGCTCCAGCAAGAGCTGTCTCACTTTCCTCACTCCCTTTTCCTTCTCAAAACCAATCTTTTTTTTTTTTTTCCTTCTTCTAGGTGTTCATTCAAGGCTGGTTTGGTGCTTGAGGAGGGGCCCACACCTCAGCTGTCCTCCAGGGAGCTGTGCTGAGCCCCTCGTGACACCTGGTCAAACCTTGAGTATTCTCAGCTCCATCCCTAGTCCTTTCCAGCCCACCTCTATGCCTTTGGACTGCCAGACAGGATGTCTGTGCCCCAAATCCAAATAGAAGAGGCTCTGGACAGCATGGATGCTGGCTCTGGGGGGGTTCCTCCTCCAGATGATCACCTGAGGACCCTCAAGGCATTGACAGAGAAGCTGAGACTGGAAACCAGGCGCCCTTCCTACTTGGAATGGAAGGCAAAGCTGGAGGAGCAGGCTTGGAAGAGCCCCCAGTCAGAGGGAGACAGGGAGGACGAGGCCACCAAGGCCAAAAAGACCCCAGGGGAGACTGTCCCCATGAGGAAAGTGCAGCTGCACCTCAACGGGAGCCCTGCCCAAGACAAGGGGACTGTCACCTCAGGGAGGATAGGTGGCTTTGAGAGCATCGACGAAGCTCTGACGTGGCTCAGGAAGGAGCTGGTAAGTGATTGCCTGTCCCTGTTAGCATAAATTTTCAAGAGGGATAAAAATGAAAGAGTGGGGAAACTCCTTGTTGCTACCTGCCTTCAGCCCCAGGTGGAAAGGCAACAATCAATCCTTGTGTTTTTCATCACTCGTATTTTCCATCACTCATTTTGTTTTCCACACCTGGCTCTTCCAGGCCCATCCTCTGTTGCTTTTTTTCTTGATTCAAACCCAGTTCACATTTCAGTCATCCCCCCATCCCAGCCTTGGGCCCTGTCTCCCACATCTGTTTATTTCTGGTGGTTATGTGCTGGATATTTCACAGAAAAGGAGGGAACAAAAATGCTTTGTCTTTTCTAGGAACCTGTGCTAGGAAAATCCAGAGAGGCAGGGCTGGAATTCACCTTTTCTCTGTCACTTTGCTCTCATGGTTTTTGGCACAAATTTATCCTGATCCTGACCCAGCTCCCAGCCAAGCTCAGGAGTCAGCAAAGCCTGGGGATAATTCCCAGGGGGATGCACCAGTCCTGACAGAGCTCAAGAAATGTTTGGGAAACACTCTCAGGCACATACAGTGATTTTGGTGTTGTCCTGTCCAGGGCCAGGAGTTGGACTTGATGAAGTTTGTGAGTCCCTTCCAGCTCAGGGTATTCTGTGATTCTCTGGAGGTCGATAGGATGGGCATGTCCCTGTCAGGGCAGCTGGAGACTGAGCTCAGGTGCTCTTCACAAGAGTAGAAGCAATCAGACACCAAAACGACACTTCCCTTCTCCTCACTGGCATGAAAATTCTTTATTATTTGGCCCAAAACACTGGAAGTGACTCATGACACGTGGCTTTGTTTCTGTTGCCCAGTTGGAGTTTTGCCTGTGAGTCCCAGCAGGAATATTTGCAACAGGGGCTGGGACATCACTTGTGGCCAACATTTGTGAAGATGTTCCTGTACAGACACTTTGTTTTTGAGAAGCACTGAAATCTTTGAGGAAAGCTTCTCACAAAAATTAATAACAGTTTTAAAGATTTCTTTGTGACTTTTGCTTCAGATAACATTGATTTGTCAACTTTCTGTTGCTGCACTCCCCCAACTCCACTGGTCCCCTGAGGATTTATTTACAGAGGTGGCTCTGGATATTGCACTTTGGTGACTTGGTTTCTTAGGATCCTGCTTTCAGGAATTCAGGACTATTAGGAACAGCTTTGAGATGATCCCCTACAACCCCTCAGTGCTCTGGAGAGCCTCAGCTCCAGATCTATGACCTGAATCTGGGTATAATCTTAAATTCACACTTGGTGGAAACCCCGAATCTCAAGATGATCAAAGAGAGTAAGAAGCAGATTTTCTTTCTCAGAACCCTGAATTTTAAAAGATTTGGGGTTTCCTTTCAATCTATGCCCATGATGGAAGTACAAATTGTCTCAGAGTCTGATTCTACCCCTTAAACTCGGGTGTGGTATCTAAACCACCATCTGTCAAAAACTGAAAGTTTGAATTAAAGACAAGAAAAGGCCAAGCAAACCCTAATTGTTCCTCACTTTCCATTTCCCAGCCACTTAATTATACCAGTCTCTGCTGGATCTGGACATGACTGGCAATTTAGAACAATTTCCCCAAAAGAGAGAGCAATTTTTTGACTGACCACAGGGTGAAATAGCTGAGCTGGAGGCACGAGTGTGGGTAAGAGCTGCCAGCAGGCAGAGGGAGCACAGCCAGGCCATCCCATCACATGGTGCTGGAACCAAAAGGTGCATTTCACATTACATTTCAAGGGTGAAAAGCAGTTTCTTGTCAAATAAAGGAACAAGCTTCCAAAGATCCCAACACAGACAAGATTTTTCCTTGCCTTTCCTCATGCTGTGGTAGCAAAGACATCAGGAAGGTTCCACAGCAGAATGAAGCCCAGAAACCAACCAGATCCCAGACTGATCCCCCAGTGTGGGCAGCAGAGGACAGGGGAGGGGGGATTCTGCCCCCTTTGTCTCTCTCAGGTGAGACCCCACCTGCAGAGCTGACCCAGCACAGAGAGGAGCTGGAGCTGCTGGAAAGAGTCCAGAGGAGGCACCAGGATGATCAGAGGGATGGAGCAGCTCTGCTGGGAGTAAAGGCTGAGAGGGCTGGGGTTGTTCAGCCTGGAGAAGGCTTTGGGATGAGCTAATTATGGTCTTTCAGTTCCTGAAGGGAGCCTACAAGAAAGATGGGGAGGGACTTGGGACAATGACCTGGAGGGACAGGACACAGGGAATGGCTTCCCACTGCCAGAGGGCAGGGTGAGATGGGATATTGGGAAGGAATTCTTCCCTGTGAGGGTGGAGAGGGCACCCAGAGAAGCTGTAGCTGCCCCTGGATCTCTGGAAATGTCCAAGGCCAGGCTGAATGGCGCTTGGAGTGACCTGGGATAGTGGAAGGTGTCCCTGGCCGTGGCAAGGTCAAACAAGATGAGTTTTAAGGTCCCTTCCAACCCAAACCCCTCCATGATTCTGTGATCCCACAATGTGCTTATTTAGGGTCTGTAGGGTTCACCTAGCCCATGAAGGGACAAAAGCCGGTGAATGTGGAGAATCTTTCCATGCAGGAAAGAAGTGCAGCAGCCCTGTCCTTAGGGAGTGAAATGCAGCGTGTGCAGCTCCATCACCCCCAACCCTCAGCACAGCTCCCAGCGTGTTCAGGCTGGGTTGTTTCAACAGCATCACCCTGGAATGGTTCTGGCTTGTCCCAGGGAGCTCCTGCCAAGCACTTGGAGCTTCAGGAGTTTGCACATGCTGGGGACTGTTCCCATCAGGCAATTTGTACAGGACCACCCAGGTTTGGTTTAACTCTATCCCAGCCAAAACAGCAGAGGCAGGAGAGTAGATTTGGTACTATCATTGAAGGGTTTAGGGTGGGAAAGCCCTTTAAGATCATTGAGTCCAGCCACTCCCCACCACTGCCAAGGCCAGCACTAAACCATGTCCCCAAGCCACATCCACACAGCTTTCAAATCCCTTCAGGGATGGGGACACCTCCACTGCCCTGGGAAGTTGTGCCAGGGCTGGAAAATCCTTTCACTGAAGAACTTTTTTCCTAATACCCAATTTAAACCTTGCTTGGTGCAACTTGAGGCCATTCCCTCTTGCCCTATCTCTTGTCACTCCCAATCCACACAAAAGTCATCATCTGACACTGCAAGGAATTTTCCTCCGTGTCTTCAGAGTCTGCTCAGATTTGACTTCAGCCAGGTTCGGGCTGCTCACGTTGAGAAGCGAAGCAAAAAGACAAACCCGAGGTTTTATTGTCCATCTGCTTTTCTGGGCCTGTCACCCCACGTGACCCGTGCCAGGCCCAGGTTTGTGGGACTGACACAAACCCACAGAGCCTCAGCCAGCTGGGCCCTGCTGAGATCCTGGCCCTGAGGAGCTGATTTATTCAGACATGCAAACTGCTCTTGTTTTTGTGCTGCGAGGCTCTGTGGAGGTGCAGGAGCAAATTGCAGCTCTCAGCTCGTGCTGAGCTGCCCCGGGGCTGGAGCATTTCCCTCCTCAGCTCCTCCTGCCTCTTCTCTGCCCTTGTGCTTGCCTTTGCACTGTCAAGTGTGGCAGCTCCTCATCTGTGCTGAGAGCAAAGCCATCACCAGCCCAGGGATGGTGATGGACTCGAGGACTGGAGGGGTCACACTTTGCTCTTTGCTTCTGAAATTTGCCAGGTTTTACAAGTTATAAAATTAAGCACTCAAAGTTCTCTCCCTCCTAAGTATGGCTAAAGTACAGCCCTGTGAACAGGGACATCTTAGAACAGCTCTAACTTTGTCCTTTTAGGAAAACCGAGTTTTCTATCTCAAATTCACCAGTTTGGCACTGAAATCTGAGGGGTGTGAGCCAGAATGCAGGAAAGACTTGAAAAGGAACAAAAATGTCTGATGGGCCCTCCTGGGAAATCATAAAACACCTGTGTCCTGTCAGCCAGATTTTTAAAAATTAAATATTAAGCACTTTTATTTCCATTTAGTATACTCATATTGGCTGAACAAGTGCTTGAGTGGATTTGAACAATGATGCAACGCCGAATTTCCTCATTATGAGGGTGGTGAGGCCCTGGCACAGGATGCCCAGAGAAGCTGTGGCTGCCCCTGGTTCCCTGGAAGTGTCCAAGGCCAGCTTGGATGGGGCTTGGAGCAGCTTGGAACAGTGGAAGGTGTCCCTGCCCATGGCATGGTGGAACAGGATGAGTTTTAAGGTTCTTTCCAACCCAAACCATTGTGTGACTCTGTGACCCCTGCTGTTAAATTGCTGAAACTAGGGAAGAGTTTAGGATTTATTATGGAATAGGACCATCCCCAAGGGTCAGTTTGGTGCAGCCACTGCTTTGGGGAGAGAGGGAGCCAACACAGCCTAAACAACACTGAGGAAGAGTGAGATTTGGGACCCATGACATGGTCCAGCTGGCAAAGAAAGCTGTCCTGGTGGTGGTGGAGAACTCCCAGGCACTCCACAAGGATCTGGGATAATTCACTTGAGGCTGTGAGTTGCACCACAAGGGCGTGAGCACCTAAAATTAGCCATGACAGGGTGGCATCTGAGCTCCTCCGAAGAAGCCCCAGACCAAAACACAGACATTGTGGGCTTGTCTGAAGGGTTGGGCAAGGATCTGACAAGTGGCCTGTGCTTCTTTGTGCTTGCACTCAGGACAGTGCCAATTGACATTTCAGTTTCTTTTGATCTTTTGGAAATAAAAAGGGCTGGCCCTGTGGGAGCAGCTGCTTCTCCACAGACCATCCCCCTGAGCTTGATGGACCAGGCTGTTACTTCATCCATGGGATTCTTCTCTTTTGGGAAGAGAGGGAAATCTCAAAGGACTCCTCATCTCCATGCCTCGAGGTGCTGCCTGCTGAAAATCTCCCAAAAGCAATGCAGAGAAAAGATAGGTTGCTCTAAATGTGAAAATTGTTGGTCTTCCTGTCTGTTGAAGGCAAAATTGAAGGCAATTGCTTGTAGCTATTTAGGATGAGCCACCTAGACTGGAAATCAGGAAAGAATACACCCAGAGCTTTCTCTCTCTCATCCCTGTTAAACATCCCTGGGAGACTCTGAGGCTCAATCCAAGCAGAAAATTCTCCCTAGGTTCATAAAATCTGGTGGTCTAGCTTTGCATTTAATCCAGCAGTTGCTTTACTGCCAGGAAGGACTTGAGTTTTGTTCCCCCTTCCAGCCTGGGAAGTTCAACCTGGCATTTTGTCCTTTCCAACAACATTCCCCACCCATGCTGGTGAGACACAGCTGGGGCTGGGTGTGCAGAGAGGGGCAGAATGTGTTAAAATGTTGGTTTTCATGAGCAAGACACACCTAAGGCTCTTCCTGCCCTGGCCATGAGAGGATCAAAGGAAATCCAAAGCCTGGCTTCTGCTGGATGCTCCCCACGGGTTTCTCCAGGATGCTGCATCCGTGTGTGGGATCCTGCTGCTGCCTCACATGGATAAACTGGAGTGTGGAGTTACCTCGTGGGTGAACTCTGCAAATGAAAAACCCCACGGCTTCCCGTGGTGTGGCCCCTGTAATCCCATTATTCATTGCCAGGCAGCTTTGTGGGCTCTGCTGGCCTGACAACGCTGCTTTTCAAGGGACATCACTCATCCTTTCCAGTGATTGTTTGGTCCTCAGCATGGGACAGTGGAATGGCTTTAGTATTTGTGCAGAGTCTCTGGGAAAGGGAAGGAGAAGGAGGATTTCTGGGTTCTGGCTGAAATTCCACTAAATATTCTGGGAGGGTTTGAACAGAGCAGTGTTTAATGGGGCGACTCCATGGATGCAGGGCAAAGGGTTTGCATCTCAAGCCAAGCCCCAGGGATGAGTGTGGGGAGTGAGAGTTCACGCCCTTCAGAGCAGCTCTATTTTCATGCTCCACCCTCTGCCCAGCTGTCACCCCTCAGAGCTGCCTCCACAGGACCTGTCACCAGGCAAGGAACTCCCAAGCCCTTGGGAAGACAAGGCAGCCTTCCAAGGAGCACAGGCAGTGACAGCTCTCACCCCATCTTCCATCTCCTCCTTGTGCACATCATCCTCTCATAGAAACATGGAATTCTTAAGGCTGGAAAAACCCTCAAAGATCATTGACTTGAACTCTCAACCCAGCACTGCCAAGGCTGCCACTAAACCACGTCCCCAAGTGCCACATCCACATGGTTTTAGTCAGCCACTGCCAGGCTTTGTTCCTTATCTTTATTTTCTAGAGGGCTTTGCCTTCCAGCTTGTGTGAAATCAAATGGATTCCTCAAAAGAGGGAAAACAAGAACCAGTCAAAAAAATGTAAAGCTGGTTTGCAAGAGAAAGAAAGCACCTATAACTCACAGCTCTTTGCACAATGGCCTCATAATTCTCTTTTAAATGTTGTTGGTTTGTGGTTTTTTTTGGTTTTTTTTGTTTTTTTGGGTTTTTTTTTGACAGCAGAGGCTTTTTTAATCCCACATTCTTCCAAATATTCAGTGAAAGCCTTTGTTGGCATTTCTTAGGTAACTTGATACACCGAGAAGAAAGAATGACCCAGGGTCACTTCAATAACACCTGTGATCACCTCCTGATAAAATGTCAGCATTTGTTGTGAGACAGGGCAAAATATCAACAGAATAGTTTTGGGGTTTGTTGGTTTTGTTTTTTTTTTTAATATTGTAACTCAGGTGGAAGAATAAAAACTGCCAAGTGGCATTGCTCTGCTGGGGGCACAGGTTATGAGTCTGAGAGGAAGTAGTGGGGTTTTTTTTGATAAAGGTAATTTACCACAACCCTGCCAACAATTTGAGAGAGATTTCCTGAGAGAGAGAGAGAGATTCACTCAGAGGTTGGTACAAAGGTGACTTAATCCTCTCCAGACAGCCAAGCTGGAGTCTTATTGCTGTCTGGGAGCATCAGGCAAGGTCCTCCAGGATGTCTCTGTAGTGTCAGAAAATCATAGAATGGTTTGGGTTTGAAGTGATTTAGATATTAGAAAATAATTCTTCCCTGTGAGAGCGGTGAGGCCCTGGCCAGGCTGGATGGGGCTTGGAGTAACCTGGGATAGTGGAAGGTGTCCCTGCCCATGGCAGGGCTTGGAACTGGGTGAACTTTAAGGTCTCTTCCAACCCAAATCATTCTGGGATTCTCTGCTTGCCTGGAGGAGGAGGGATTATGGAAAAAGCTAAAGCAACCCTGAGGCTGCTCTGGTTCACACCCTCCTTGCAGCAGCCCTTGGAAAGGGGTCATGGAAAGGTCTCATGTAGGAATATCAGGGTCTTTGTGGGGTCTCTCAAGGGGAACTTTCCTTCCTCCCTTCCCTCCTGCATCTTCATGCATAAGTCACCAGGACAGGAATAATTTACCCCTTTCCCCAGAGCTGCGTCTGTACCCACAAACTGAGCAGCTCATTTTCAGGCCTGGAGGGAAACTGATATTGTCTGATCACATCCATGCTGCTAAAGTCCAGGAAAGGGAAATTTATGCCAAAATGTAGAATCACAGTCCTAGATCTGGCTGAGTTGGAAGGGACCTTGGAGATCATCCTGTTCCAGCCCTTCCAGTGAGCCTGTTCAGCTTCTTTCCCACCTTCTTTTCTTTGTAGCTTTTGTGGTTTTGTTGCTTTTCTGTGAGGAGGGAAGTGGGGTGGGAAGAGGGAATTGTCTTGATTTGCTTTTCCAGCCCTGCCTTCCCCTGTTTGCCAGGCTGATTCCCACACCAAGTGTTCACTCCTTCTTTCACTACCCACAGCATCCTGTGGCAATGAATTTTCTTAATTATGAGCTAGATTTTTTTTTTTTAATAAAAGACCTCTTTCCTTTCATTACTTATGAATCTTCCACCTTCCCAAGCCAGGTACCAGGGGAGAAAAAAATACCTCCAAAACACTTAGATCATTAGCTTGGAGGTTGTAGTTTTCTGTCCTGGGGGAAACCATGGAGGTCCCATCCTGAGAGCCACTTCAAATTACTGAGATAAAATAAGCCACAGAGGAGGTGGACTGTCATGGGCCAGCTCTGATTTATGCAGGCTAGAAACCCAGGTTGAGTATGTGGGGATCAGTTATTTGGTGTTCTTTTAATTGGTCCTTTCCACCTCTAATTGCTCTGTCTCCCTGTGGCTGCTGCCTTATGAGCAAAATTAATATGGGCTTTGTTTAATGTTGAAAGGGAGGCTCTGAAGCCTGACAGATACCCAAGCCAACAGCCTTGGCACAGCTTTGATTCTACTTTCCTGGTGCTCCTGAAAACAAGAGCAGGCACAGAATTTCTCAATTGTTAAAAATTCCCCCTCCTGAGCTGGTATTTTTTTGGGATGCATGGCTGGCTTGGAAGATCCCTGTCTCCCTCACAGATTGAGCACCTATAGATGAGTTTACAGAATCAGCTGGGTTGGAAAAGACCTTTGAGATTGAGTCCAACCTATGACCTTGTCAACCAAACCACGACACATTCAGCCTTTTTTTAAACACCTCCAGGGATGTTGACTCTATCACCTCCCTGGGTAGCCCACTCCATACCAAATCACTCTTTATATAAAGGACTTTTTCCTAATGTCCAGCCTAAACTTCCTCTGGAGCAGCTTAAGGCTGTGTCCCCTCATCCTGTTGCTGTTCCCTGGGAACAGAACCTGACCCCCACTTCACTGCACCTTCTGTCGGGAAGTTGTGCAGGGTGATGAGGTCTCCCCTGAGCCTCCTTTTCTTCAGGCTGAGCCCCCACAGCCCCTCCTTACCAGGGCTAGTGCTAGAATCACCGAATTATAGAATAATGAGGTTGGAAGAGACCTCTAAGATCATCGAGTCCAACCTATGCCCTAACATCTCATCTAGACTACAGCACAAAGTGCCCTGTCCAGTCTTTTTATAAACACATCCAGAGATGGTGATTCTACCACCTCCCTGGGAAGAGCATTCCAGTACTTTATTATTATTGTTTTTTCCTAATATCCAACCTATACCTTCCCTGACATAGCTTGAGCTACGTCAAGCTTCACCAGCCTTGTCGCCCTTCTTGGACGCATTCAAGCACCTCAACATCCTTCCATTCCCCATGATCCCGGTGCAGCCTCGAGCAGGGAGGCAGGGAATTTGCCACTAAAACCCCTCTTCCCTCCCCGTTTCAGGCAGAAATGCGCCTGCAGGACCAGCAGCTGGCCAGGCAGCTGATGCGGCTGCGCAGCGACATCAACAAGCTGAAGATCGAGCAGACGTGCCACCTGCACCAGCGCATGCTCAACGATGCCACCTACGAGCTGGAGGAGAGGGACGAGCTCGCTGACCTCTTCTGTGACTTCCCCCTCGTGAGCTCCTTCAGCCTCTCCACGCCCCTCAAGCTCATCGGGGTCACCAAGATGAACATCAACTCCCGCCGGTTCTCGCTGTGCTGAGCGGGGTGGGGAGAAGGAGAGGGAAGGATGGGGGAGAAGGAGGGAGAGGGAGCTCTCTGCCTCGTGGCTGGGTGAGGAGAGGCCAAGGAGGAGCAAAGGGAACCTGCAGCTGGTCTTGGTGGCAGAGTGGAGATTGGCACTGGAACGGCCTGGGGATGCTCATGGGGAAGGCAGGACCTGCGTGGAAGAAGCCTGAAGAGCATCCAGACCCAACACAAGCACTCAGCTCCTTTGCCAAGTCCCTTCTCCTCCTCTTCCTCCCACAGGACGCAGCTCGGTGTGGGTGGTTGTGCTCAAAAATCAAAGGAGGGGTCAAAAATCAGCCACAAAGCAAAATCCCTCTTTCCTTCCCCTTCCCCTCCTCCCAGGCTGGAGCAACATTGCTCTCCTCCATGGATGTCCCCTTTGGCACCAGCCCCCAGCCTCTGCTGCTCCAAGTGTGGGATCCATGGGGCTGTTTCAGTGGGAAGTTGATTTCCAGTGGGAAGGAGCCAAGCAAAGGACTGTGGGTTAAATGGTACCAGCCCCAAGAAGTGGTGAGAAGATGTGTTTTTTGGATTGCTCCATAGAGTCCAGGGCACTACAGCTTCATTTTGCCTGTGGTATAGATTATGGACTCAGCGTGGGCACATTCAGAGATTCCAGCTGACCAGAAGTCTCCTGTGTGCCCTGGAAGTCATACCCAGAGCAATACACAGTTCTGATCCTGTTGGATCCTGTTGTCAGCCACAAGACACCCTGTGGTTCACCCTGAAAACAAGGAAATGCTGTACCCAAGACGTTTCCTGTCAGAGAAATCCCCAGGCTGACAACCCCCAACAGCAGCACCAGCAAACCCTGGATCCTCTGTAGCCACACACATCCATCAGAGAGAGGGACTTCAAGAGGAGAAAGGGGACTTTCGGTTAATGAACTCAAAATGGGACTTAAAGGGAAAAATTGCTGTGATGAGCTTTGGACCTGCAGCAACAGAGGGGGTTCCCTCGTAATGAACTCAAAATGGGACTTAAAATTAAAGGGAAAATTGCTGTGATGAGCTTTGGACCTGCAGCAACAGAGGGGGTTCCCTCCCTGCCCAGCAGAATATGAGATGGATGCTGTGTTTTCTTGCCTTTCAGTGCACACAGCTGCCTGTACCTGGCACGGGGGGCAGAGACCTCTGGTGCTGCCCAGCAAGGGACTCCAAAGGTCTTGCCATGGTAATTTTGGGACACCTGGCACCCAAGGCAGTGCAGATCAAGCATGGATGCCTTCAGACTCTCCTTCTTGTGCCCACCCCAGTCCTGACCCTGTCAGAGTGGAACAATCCTGCTCATGGTGTCCCTGCCCATGGCAGGAGGGCTGGAATTAGCTTTATGGTCCTGTCCAACCCAAACCATTATAGGATCTCAGCCCAGCTCTGCTCCTCCCCACGTGCCCGAGCAGGAGCAGCTCTTGGCTGAGCAGACCTGGCTGTGCCCAAGGCCTGGGAAGGAGCAGGAGGAGCAATCCCACTGCTGTGGAAGCTGTGGCTGTGTCGATGTGCCTGTAGCTGTCTGTGAGCTCTGTGTGTGTGTGTCAGTCGCTGTGTGTGTGCATCTGAGCCCGCAGGACGCCTCTCCCAGGAGGCTCCGGGCTGGGTTCGCGCCTTTATTCCGAAATGTGACGGGAACCGGGATCTGGTGAGACTCCGACGTGCCTGGGAGGATGCAAGGAGGCTTCCAGACCTGGGGTTCCACAGGGAGCTTTAGGTTGGTGCAGAGAAGACAAATAATTCATGTGCCTCCACAGGTCTGCATGGTAGGGATGAATCAAGGGGTTCACAGATGGGGCTGGGGACACTGAGCTGAGATCAGCCCTCCGTCCCCACAACCCCTGGATGGTGCCTCCCCATCCACTCCAAAGCTCCCTGAGTATCTTTTCTTTCTGCTAAGGAAGGAGGAATTTTAGGCACCAGAGCTTTATCTATACCATCAGCACCACACCTGGGTGCTGAATCTTGTGCTCCCCAGGTGAGGAAAGTTTATTTTGGGTTGTGACCAGACTGTCACTTGTCCCTCTGGACAAAACAACCAGCCATGGTGCCATTCAGTTTACTAGGAACAGCCTTACTTCCCCATGGACATCTTGGAAAAAAAACCCCACCTCATTAAAATTCTTATTTGTTTACTTTTTTCATAAAAATAAATCACTTTGTGTCCCACATGTTGATTTTCAGAGGCGTTTTCAATCAGAAGATGGAAATTATGGGTTTTCCGTGAAAATAATGCCTTGGAAAGGGGGATTGGTTCCCTCTAGGGTCAAATGGAGTTGAGTACAGGGTGGGCCTGCCTTTGGGCTCTTGTCTGGTAGCCAAAACAGGGGTTAATTCAAGCACAGTCTTCATGGGTCATTACACGTGGCATTAGGAAATCAGATGTCTGGGTTCCAGACATGTATTTTCTGCATTAAGGGGGAAGAGGGATGGGTGTAACTGCCAGCTGTTTGTCGAAATGCACAATTTTTTAATTATAAAACCTCTGTCTGTATTGATTTCTGCCTCTGGTCTCTCACTGCGTTGGGGAAGCACCAGGATGGTGTGTTCCAGGATTACAGGTGTGGCAGGTTTTTTCCTGGCAGGTTTTTGTATCCACTCAAGCCCATCAGCTCCACCTGGCAGTTGAGGAGAGATGGGAAGAAAATAAGGTTGGAGCACGTATGACGTGTTTGGACAAAAACCTATGGGAAAGAAAGCAAAACAAACCCCCCCCCCCCCCAAAAAAAAAAAAAAAACAAAAAAACAAAAAAAAACAAAAAAAAAAAAAAAAATAAAAAAAAAAAAAAAAAACAAAAAAAAAACCAAAACAAAACAAAAAAAAAAAAAACCCAAAAAAAAAAGTTATATGCTAGTTAGCCACTGAGAGAAAAGTGGGTCTTTTCTCTCTTAAAAGATATCAGGCACTTAAAAGATATCAGGCTAAGGAGGAAAAATAAATAGAAATAGATCTGATTTTTGCTGAATTTTATTTAAAGTTAAAAGTCACCCAATTTTTGGGTCAGATTTGAGAAACATGAGGACAGGTCATTGTTCCCATCACAAAATTCCCAGACAAGAGCCTGCAGGTCTCAGCTGTCCACAGTGAGATGATTCAAACCCTCGAGTGTTGGTTCCTCTGCTGTGGCTTAGAGCCACATTCCCTTTCCCAGATGCCTGGAGAGAAAATCTGGTGGAAATCAAGGTTAGTTCTGATGAAGTCCATCCAAAAAATGCTCCTTTGTAGACCAACGAATCAATGCTGCATCTCCATCTGGAGCACCAGTGGCTGCTGCTCCATCTCTTGGAAGCAGGAATCTTCTGGGCACTGATTCCAGTGTTGTCCTCAGCCACCCAGCAATGAGACACGTTGCTCATGAAATACAAGAGCCAGTTTGAGACTAATCAATGGGAATAATTGCATTTTTAATTGAGGTGGCCAAGCTGGAGGACCATGGATTTCTCCAGGCTAACTGGAAGATAAAATTTCAGGTTATTTTTCCTAGCCCCCAAAAGCTCAATGCGAATTTTAAAGGGGGGAACCAGTCTAGAATTTTAATTGTATAAGCTTTGCTTTTACTCAAAATTTAAATACAACACTTAAAATTTTTTTGCTTGGGAAGAAATTGTTCCCTATGAGCATGGGGAGGCCTGGCACAGGGTGCCCAGAGAAGCTGTGGCTGCTCCTGGATCCCTGGAAGTGTCCAAGGCCAGGCTGGACAGGGCTTGGAGCAGCCTGGGATAGTGGAAGGTGTTCCTGCCCATGGCAGGGCTTGGAACTGGATGAACTTTAAGGTCCCTTCCAACCCAAACTCTTCTGGGATTCTGTGATTCTGCAAAAATTGTTTTAAAAATTTTAAATTACAGCTGAGACATTAACACTTCATTTTCATTCAAACATTGTTTTGCTGTTAACTGTTAAATTTTTTTGCTTGAAGGAGCCTGAATAAAACTTTTCCACTTTCTCTTTTTCAGCTAGACCCAATCCCTGAAGTTTAGTCAGTCCAAAGCTCTACATTTCTTACCATAAAAAAATCAGTTAAAAATTAATTGGCCCAGGTCTCTTTTTTCCTTTTACTTCCTTTGGGTCAATTAAGAGGAAGCACAAAGCAATTTTACATATTTTACTTCACAATCAGCTGGCTGCTCTCCCTGGCATGAGCTGCCACGACCTAGTAATGAACAGGACCTTGCTCCTCTGCCACAGCCCCAAAGCAGAAATGATTAAAAGGGTCATTGTTCCCATCAAAGTGTCTCATTCCTCACTCTTTTGGCATGGGAAGTGATATCCCATAATCAGTGAGCGATCTGAGGTCTCCCACAACCACCTCCATAAACCTTAATTAAATTCAGTGGAGACTCTGTCAGAGAACAGCACACTGGGTCCCCTTGCACCAGGAAAGCCAAGGAATGACACATTTAAGGACTTAAAGTCTGAATTTTCAGATTGACTCTGCTACACAGGATTTCAACTATCACAGTTTAACCTTTTTTATAGATATAGATGCTATAGATATGGATATATATGGGAACAGATCCCATCTGGAGTATTCCCAGCACCTCGTGGGTTTGTTTCACAGCCTGACACTCTCTGCTGAGTGGGTTTTCCTTCAGATCAAGGCAGACAGGAGGAGGGGGAAGGAAAAAACAAGGGATTGCAAGTAGGAGTTGGCAGGCTCCACACCAGAAGCGGAGCCAGGCTCACCTCCCCTGCTGCACGTTTTACAACCAAGTGTTGTGTCTGAGGGGAAGCACACATGGGAGTGAGACATCCCAAAACCTGGCAGGAGCCAGCCCTCTGGCATCACTCACAAACCAGATGCTGGCCAGAGGAGCAGCACCCAAAGATGTGCAAACCACTCCAAAAATCCTCACTCATCTCCGTGTGACCTGGGAAATCTGGGAAGCTGAGGGCAGCACTTCCCTCCCCTCTCTGGGCTCGGGACACTCCTGAGTCCTGGAGGATCACACTCGCTCCTGGGAGCCCCAGGTTCCAGTGGTTGGGAAGTTAAGGTGAAATGTAAATGTGGAATTTAAGGTAAGCAACAACTGAATTTGGGCAAAACTCCTGCTTTCAGCCTTTCATCTTTCACCTTTTCAATCTATTTTATGAAGAAGGATCAAGAAACCACCTTCATTCACCCAGAAACCATCATCATTCAGAGGAGCCAAGACCTGGGCTGGCCCCATCCTTGCAAAAGGTGGATATTACAGAGCCCCTGTGGTCAGACAAACCATTCTGGTCACTGTTGCCCTCAGCACCTAAATGTGCTTTAAAATGCTCTGGAGCAATCACTGAGAGGGGTCTGCAGTGCCAAAGTTGTGGCTGTCCCATCCCTGGAAGTCTCCAAGGCCAGGCTGGACAGGGCTTGGAGCAACGTGGGATGGTGGAAGGTGGAGGTTGGAATGAGATAATCTTTATTTTCCCTTCCAACCCAGTCCATTCTCAGTGAGGAATGATCAGTGCCTCGCCACTGCTCCTTCCCCAATCCCCCTCTCCCTTGTGACTGTCTCAGCTCCCCCCAGAGTGGGGATGAGGGGGAGGAGGGAGGTATTACACAATGTTTTTGTTCCACTGACAGTTTCCCTCTGCCAGTTGGAACAGGCTGCTCATAAATTTCGGCTTTCTGGAGGGGTTTCAGGAGTTTTGCATTCTTAGATCATTGTCTGCCTTTCCCAGGAACAATGGGGGCAGGAAGGAGCTGCTCCAGAAATGCCATGCACTGCGAGGGGATCTCTCCTGGATAGGGATTGCTCAGGGGGGCAGAGGGAGCTGCCCTCAACTGCTTCATCTCCCAGCCTGGGTAGCCAAGGAGACAGCTCAGTGGCAAGCAGGAATGCTGCTGACAGTGCCCTGTGGAGGTCTGCAAAGGTCAG